TTTTTTATGCTTGTAATTGTTGTAAATATTAGTGAAAATTTCAATGACAACGTATTACGATCTCTACTACACTCAGTTTAACATATCTGTCATTCACATTTTACTCTCATAACCATCAGCAAAAAGAAACCAATTCAAACTTATGAATCCTTATGAATAGTAATGTGTTCAAAGATTGAATATGCTCTAGAACTGAAATACAAATTCACGGAGCATTCTTACATTAAAACAAGCTTATTATTCCGATATTTGGTAATATTAAAGTTTAAAAGGTTTGTATCACTATTGATTCTCTTTTTTAATACTTAATTCAGAAGTGAACGCAGCAAAGAATTTTTAAATGATTCGTTTTTAGCTCACCTGAGCTGAAAGCTCAAGTGAGCTTTTCTGATCACCTGTTTTCCGTTGTCCATCCGTCTGTCCGTCTGTAAACTTTTCACATTTTCAACTTCTTCTCAAGAACCACTAGGCCAATTTTAACCAAATTTGGTACAAAGTATCCTTGGGTAAAGGGGACTGCAAATGTAAAAATAAAGCGCTAAGTCCCCTTACAAGGGGAGATAATCAAGAAAAGACAAAAATAGGGCGGGTCATTAAAAAATCTTCTTCTCAAGAACCATTGGGCCAGAAAAGCTGAAACCTATTTGGAAGCATCCTGGGGTAGTGTAGATTATAAATTGTTCAAATCATGACCCCGGGGGTAGGGCGGGGCCACAATAGGGAATCCAAGTTTTACATTGAAATATATAAGAAAAACCTTTAAAAATCTTCTTTTCAAGAACCACTGGGCCAGAAAAGCTGAAACTTATATGGAAGCATCCTAGGGTAGTGTAGAATATAAATTGTTCAAATCATGACCCCCTGGGGGTAGGGCGGGGCCACAATAGGGAATCCAAATTTTACATTGAAATATATAGGAAAAATCTTAAAAAATCTTCTTCTCGAGAATCAGTGGGCCAGAAATACTGAAACTTATATGGAAGCATCCTGGGGTAGTGTAGATTCTAAATTGTTCAAATCATGACCCCCTGGGGGTAGGGCGGGGCCACAATAGGGAATTCAAGTTTTACATTGAAATATATAAGAAAAATCTTTAAAAATCTTCTCAAGAACCACTGGGCAAGAAAAGCTGAAACTTATACAGAAGCATCCTGGGGTAGTGTAGATTATAAATTGTTCAAATCATGACCCCGGGGGTAGGGCGGGGCCACAATAGGGAATCCAAGTTTTACATTGAAATATATAAGAAAAATCTTTAAAAATCTTCTCAAGAACCACTGGGCAAGAAAAGCTGAAACTTATACAGAAGCATCCTGGGGTAGTGAAGATTATAAATTGTTCAAATCATGACCCCGGGGGGTAGGGCGGGGCCACAATAGGGAATCCAATTTTTACATTGAAATATATAAGAAAAATCTTTACAAATCTTAACTTGACCTACACACAAGCATTTGGAAAAGGACAAAATAGTATCTACACTACCTCAGGATGCTTCCATATAGGTTTCAGCTTTTCTGGCCCAGTGGTTCTTGAGAATTCTCAAGAACCACTGGGCCAGAAAAGCTGAAACCTATATGGAAGCATCCTGAGGTAGTGTAGATTCTAAATTGTTCAAATCATGACCCGGGGGGTAGGGCGGTTCCACAATAGGGAATCCAACTTTTACATTGAAATATATAAGAAAAATCTTTAAAAATCTTCTTCTCAAGAATCACTGGGCCAGAAAAACTGAAACATATATGGAAGCATCCTGGGGTAGTGTAGATTCTAAATTGTTCAAATCATGACCCCGGGGTGTAGGGCAGAGCCCCAATAGGGAATCCAAGTTAAACATTGAAATATAGAAGAAAAATCTTTTAAAATCTTCTTCTCAAGAACCACTGGGCCAGAAAAGCTGAAACTTAAGTGGGAGCAACCATTGTTCAAATCATGACCCCGGGGGTAGGGCGGGGCCACAATAGGGAATCCAAGTTTTACGTTGAAATATATAAGAAAAATCTTTAAAAATCTTCTTTTCAAGAACCACTGGACCAATCAAGCTGAAACTTATTTGGAAGCATCCTGAGGTAGTGTAGATATTCTAAATTGTTCAAATCATGACCCCGGGGGGTAGGGCGGTTCCACAATAGGGAATCCAACTTTTACATTGAAATATATAAGAAAAATCTTTAAAAATCTTCTTCTCAAGAACAACTTGGCCAGAAAAACTGAAACTTATATGGAAGCATCCTGGGGTATGGTAGATTATAAATTCTTCAAATCATGACCCCCGGGGGTAGGGCAGGGCCACAGTAGGGAATCAAAGTTTTACTTTGAAATACATAAGAAAAATCTTTAAAAATCTTCTTCTCAAGAACCACTGGGCCAGAAAAGCTGAAACTTCTATGGAAGCATCCTGGGGTAGTGTAGATTATAAATTGTTCAAATCATGACCCCCGGGGGTAAGGCGGGGCCACAATAGGGAAGCCAAGTTTTACATTGAAATATATAAGAAAAATCTTCTTCTCAAGAACAACTTGGCCAGAAAAACTGAAACTTATATGGAAGCATCCTGGGGTAGTGTAGATTCTAAAATGTTCAAATCATGACCCCCGGGGGTAGGGCGGAGCCCCAATAGGGAATCCATTACGTCGCGGGTTCAAATCCCACTGTGGGACGTGTAGACCGGTCCTTTGGATGAGACCGTATAAACCGAGGTCCCGTGTCGCAGTAGGTGCTGGCACGAAAAAGATCCCTCACTGCTCAATGGCCGTAAGTGCCGAGTATAGGACAAAATTTGCAGCTCTCCACCGGCAAGTGGTGGCGTCTCCATATGAGTGAAAAATTCTCTAGAGGGACATTAAACAACATACAAACAAACATTTGGTGATGCATACATCTCCTTAGCTAATGCTCCCTAGTCCTTTATTTTCATGTTTATGATTCTTAATTTTAACATGATGAATGAGATCTATCACTGTTCATTATCTTCAGCTTCTTCATTTATTCAAATTGGACTAGGGTTAGGTAAAATACTTAATGGACAAAGATATTCATAGGAAAATCATGGTCCACATGGGCAGTAAAAGGCCACAAAAAAGATCAAATGTGAATACTGAACATATCCGTAAAATTTTCTCAGAATTTTTTGCTAAAATTATTTCCCCGGGAGTTGGGGTGGGGCTATTAAAGTTTTACAGAAGATGTAGGAAATAAAATAACATTAATAAACATATTCAGCACATATACACTTTGGTCATATTGTCAGTTTAAGCTTCAATATCTGCGTTTAGTGTGCATTCAAATTAGTTCAAGTAACCTCTCTAGACTAGGATGTGGCAACAATACTTTTTTGTTCCTCTTCACGCATTTCTGCACATATGGCAGTACAATCAAAGGCAAGGCAAGGATTCACACAATCATAAATAACATGCAAGGCTTTAAAAAGCCATGTCTCACTTTCAAGGAAATAATACAGTAAATAAATTTTATCATGATTTAAAGTATGAAAGGGCGTAATAAACTAAAATCTATGTAGTTTTTGGAGATATAGTTCTCCAAAAATCTGTTCTCCAATTGCGCCCCGTTGTTAGCAGACCTATTTTTGTATTTTGTATGAGACAGAACCTATGCACTTCTAATTTAGAAGAAGAAACACTTAAACTCGACATTTAGATATATCGACGACGTTTTATCAATTAAAAATAGTTATTTCCATTCATATGTAGACTCTATATATCCCTCTGAACTTGAAATAAAAGATACCAAAGAGTCTGACACATCTGTTTCATGTTTGGATATTTTACTAGAAAAAAAACATTAATGGAAACCTAACAACAAAGTTTTATGGTAAACTTGACGACTTTTCTATCGTCAACTTCCTTTATTTATGAAGCAATATACCCTTAACACCTGCATATGGAGTTTGTGTCTACCAGTTGATTCGATAGGCAACAGCATGCTCTACGCACGAACAATTTTCAAAACGAGGTATTGAAAAACAAGATATGAAACAAGGATATCAACAGTCTCATTCAAGGTCAGCATTTCACAAATACTATGGTTGACACAATGACCTTGTCAGCAAATACAATCTATCATTAAGTCGAATTTTGATTAACGTTTTTCATACTAATTGTTAGACCATTATTTACATTGACTTGTCTACGGATTTTACCGTTTGCCCGATCACATGGTGGATGACACGGGTTGACAGGAGATGCTTGTTCTTTATCTCCAAATTTCACTCGATATATCCTATCGACTTTTAGGAAATCTAGGACAATCCATTTTGCATTTTGAAAAACTTTACTTCCTACAACAAAATCAAATAGAAACTATGAAAACCCGAAGGACTCAGATGTTTACTTATATTAATGTCTATTTTTTAAAAAAAAAATATGCGATATAGTTTTTTAATTCAATATAAACTGAGTCATTTTTATGACAAGTAAGTAAAATATTCACCATGTTTGCACCATATGATAAATGTAATCTAAATATGATAAGGATTGAAAAATTTAAAATCAGTGAAGGAAAATATATGCATAGTAATACAAGTTTCACATTATGTCCGCAATTTCTTTTCAATCGAAATGTTAAATAATGACAGTTACAAAATCAAAGTACACGTGTTATAATTTGTTATTGTGTGAACACGAAAGAAAAGGCAAAAAGTTGTTGCAAAAGCGCAAGATAAAACCTAGTAAAGAAAATCATAAGAGAATTCTAAAGAACAGCAAGGTTGTATTCGGTATGAATCAAATATCATTTGAGTATTATGCAGACATATTTAAACATCTTCCTTTAAAGAGCAGCAGTGCTATGAAAATCCCCATCAGATATCTCACAAACTCTCATACTGTAAATTAACTTTCAGATAATTAATTCCATGATTTTTTTTATGTAAAGTGAGATTATATTGATAGACCTAGCATCATGTATATTTTTGAAAGGATTAATATGATATTTATTTACTTTCAGAGGATTGTGTTCCTAAGGACTAACCCTGACTAAACACAATGTTCATGATAATCGTCAGCACTCAGTTTAAAATACGACAGTGTTCTCAATGTCAGGGTGACACAGAATTCTACTGTGACAAGTGTAAGCATGACCTGTGTCTACAGTGTAAAGAGAGACATGTTACAAATTTTCCAACCAAATATCATAAAGTGGTTTTCTATAAGGCCCACCGTAGTGAAAAGAGCTTAATAAAACAATGTAAAATGCGTCAGTGTTTTCAATGTCAGGGGGACACAGAATTCTACTGTAACACGTGTAAACATGACCTGTGTCTACAGTGTAAAGATAGACATGTTATAGATCTAAGTACGAAACACCATGATATTGTGATTTACCTTGAAAAATATGAAAATATCCTAAAACAAGAGAAGTGTGTAAGACATCCAGACAGAATCTATGAAACGTATTGTCAATCATGTGAACTTTCACTCTGTTCCCAATGTAAAGAACACAGAAAACACCAAATACAGGACATTAGAACAGCCTATAAAACAAACCGTCAACAACACAGAGACTATTTCCACAATATAAGAAGTGAAACTCTTTATAACAGTTGCTTTTTCCTGGCAGGAATCAAAACTGATATGAAAGCTTGTAGATCAGAAATCTCTAACCGTCGTTCGGAGATATTATCAAAAGCCCAGAGACTAAAGGATCTCATTGACACCGTGGTGGTTGATATTATAGTCGGATTAAGAAAGTATATGTTGCATAGATTGCAAAACCAGAAGAGGAAAATGAAGAGACATCTGGTCAACATAGAGAACTATGAACATAGATCTAAGTGGTCAGGAATCAGACAGATAAAAATCCTCTTATTCGTAAAGAAAACCCTTGATCCTAAGATAAAAGACAACCTTAATCTAACACAACACGTCTTCCTCTCTCTGAGTAAGGAAATCAACACGGAGGATGTGATGAAGTTAGGTGAGATTCAAATAATACAGAAAGGTATAAGACAGGTAAGGAATGAATCTGTGCTGAAACTGATGTCTACACCTATGTTACACAAAACTGTAACCGTGGCAGATGTTAAGAATGTTATACACTTTTCATTTGTGACATCCGACCATTTTTGGATCAACGACAATAACAGTCTCATCTTGACAAATACAGAAGGTGAAACTGAACATCATCTAACAGATAGCAGTAGTCTTTGGGGAATACACACAGTGAGCATTTCCTGTGATCTTATTTATATCGATAAGGAAAACAACATAAGCAAGCTATCTAAAGATAAGGAAACAAAGTCTATAATGATGAAGAAAACCGATCCATGGATACCATACTGTATCTACTGCTCCCCCTCCAGTGGAGATCTACTAGTCGGGATGTATAGATTTGATACAAAGATAGGCAAGGTAACACGGCATAACGGCGTGGGACAACACATTCAGACAATACAATACAGCAAAACAAGTCAAGGACTGTATAGTAGACCTAACTACATCACAGAGAACCGCAATGGAGATGTTATTGTGTCTAACATTATTGGCATTTTTCATGGTGATGTAGTGGTGACAGACCACAGAGGAACATATCGCTTCTCTTACACAGGACCTCCATCAGGATCAGAACTATGCCCATACGGAATCTGCACAGACGCGCTGTCGCACATCCTTGTGTGTGATTATAACACCGACACAATACAGTTGATCGATAAAGACGGTCAATTCCTGACACTGATACTGACAGAACTACAGGGGATACACAGACCAGGGAGCCTGAGTTATGATGACAAAACTCACGCTCTCTGGGTAGGATCATTGAACAGCAAAAAAATGCGTGTATACAGATACATAGAGAGGCAGAACTATCCGACCTGTTGTTCTAATTAGTTTATACAATGCATGTACAAATTAACAAAAATATCTGAAAGGTATTATAATTAATGGTAGAGAACATCATTTGCCAGGTCATTCTAATTAATTAATTGCATACAGTTTCAAATCAAGTCAACTGAATTAATATTTCTAACATGCACAAACAGGAGGGAAAAGAACAAATGTGAAAGCATCCACAAACCCTTACAATACAAGAATTCAAAACATACAATTGGAGAAAAAATCTCGATGCTTTTAGATAACTTATCAATTTGAGACTGGCTTGAACAAGTTATAACTTTTTTCATGCTAATAATACCCCCATTAGGTTTGGATGCATACAGGTTAGAGATACTTGATAAATATTTACATGATGTTAAAATTATATGATGGAACTGATTCATCTCTTTGCTGCAAGATGTTTACGGATGCGAAAGTTTGGACAAGCGCAGTTGTTTTTATTTCTGGGTATCATCAAAAATCTTTACATACCTTACTCCTCCTAACCAACCCGCAAGAGACACAGTCTACAGGCTGCAGTGTCGTATGTTACTTGCATTTCCATCTACATATTGCTTTTATTTAGGGGAATTGCAGAATAGATGCAATCATATTTTGTTTCTTTGAAGCTCTTAAAGAACTAATTCTTAATGATTACTTTGGTACTTCTATTATGACAGGGAATTGTGGTAGTGAAGGAATTTCGGAAGATTTTCTTGATGAAGACTGTTCAGATTTCATCTCGAATTTCCCCTGTTCTTTCATGTAAGTCTGTAAAGCTCGCTGTGCTAGATGCCAATATTGTAATGCTAATTTAACATTGCACATAACTTGAGTATTTCTTTTTCAATTGATATAAAATTGCTTAATAAATCTTGTAAGCATCTTATGTTTGAGAGCAATAACAGATTGAATGAATATGGATAAAAACGGTAATCATGCTCATTGAAACAATACAAATCAGGAGCAAAGCAAACACATTCCTCTAAAAAATCAGAGGTGGGATCAATTGCCATGGAAAAATAACCATCCCCTGTTGCCGGTCACATACACCGTGTGCTCCATGTCAAGACCGGGTAATCGGAAAAATCCCAGGACAATTTAGTGTGAAAATAATCGCATTACAGTTAGTTTGTATTTGCTGACACAGTTATTGATACGGTCAGAGTATCTCATGAAAATGTTATTTTTCAGAGGGCATAACAGGAGTAATTTCCTAAGGAAATTTTAAAGGTCGCAGATCAATTTCGTATGTATTTATAGAATCAAAGACTTCTCATAAAAGCGTATTAAGGGAACTTTTTTCATCTGAATTACAAAAAGTTGGTAAAAACAAAGACTCTCTTTGAATTTGAAATCGTATCGTTAATGGTAAGGTAGAGTACTTGATATCGTTTGAAGGTTGGCCAAGTAATATAATATGTGGCGCAACTCAGGCAATCGGGCAATATCAAAGACCAAAATCACAGCAGAAACATCGACATGAACATTTAAGCAATAATAAGCAGTGATTTTTCTTTGCATATTATCCTTAAAATAAGGCTAATCATTTTAAGCGTCTATTAAAAACACCAAATAAGTTAGATAGGGATTGAAAAGTGGATTTGTTTGAAGCAAAACTTTCTACCAGTAAATCTTTGAAAAATCGAACACCATTGTACGTCTATACCAATATGTGCAGAGGGTCAATCGTGGACGGCGAGAAAAAAAAAAAAAAACTGGAGCCCAAATCGCCTTGGGATGCAATATTCGAAGTGGGGCAATATACGCCTGTGGAAATAAAATATATATGCGATCGATCAACATTTATATAACTACCAAAGAGGGTGTTCAAACTTTTAAAATAATTTTAAAAATATTTTAAAAATAAACCAAAATTTTCAACATGTATTTTTGAATATTATACAAGGCATATGTAAGGCGGTTGTGGGTATATAGGAGGAAGTCATTGTAATTAATTATTAACAAATCTCTTAAGAATTATTCGTTGAGCTGTAGGTTTTGGCCCTGTTAAAAGAAATAACTTACGACTAAGATACAAAATGTGTTTTTGCGAAATATTTTTGTCTTTAGATGTATTTTCAAAATATGCGTGTATTTTAATTTGGAAAGAGAGTGTAGGTAGCAATTTTAATAAATGTTGAAAACAGCTGAAAATGTTGATCTTTGTTGCAAGTTTTTTTGTAAAATAGGTTCCTTAACTCTAGGTTCTGGAAGAAATGGGATTGAGAAAAAATAGCAACTAAATGTGCACAAGTTTCAAAATCTCTATCAGACTTGAAGTTCAGACCTGCAAAACATAATTATGTGAGAATGTTGTTCCAGACTTCCGCACACAAGTGCAATAAACCCACGGTGTTCTTAATTATTGAAATGTACATACTTGAATAGGGCAAAATACAGAGCCCTGTAAACACCAGTTGTGTGATCTGGTACCTCGTAGGGGTACGTATCCTCTTTTGATCGGTCAGAAGGACCGTGAGTCATAAGTGTTAAGGATGTAAACGGAATCATTCTAGATCAAATGGTGAAAAAAATGACTTAACAATTGTGGGGAAATGTTAGTCAAAATATAACCCAACGATAATTTGTTGACTTTAAAGGAGACGGTTGAAAACCCTGTAACAACAAACTATTTCTCAGCAGCCTGCCTCCGTTTGAAACTGGTCGGTCTAAGAACAAGCTCTTGAATATTGAGAATACTTGGAGACTTAAACTACATATAAACAGGTTAGCGGAATATTACTACATTATTAAGTAAGGTGGAGTATGGGAAAGATGATGTTACCCCAATTGTCATAGAATTTAGTCGTAAGTTGCCTTTTAACGTTTATCGTCAGTAAAATATCCAAGTGGGAAGCAATTAAGGCAGACCTCTATTATGACACCTATCTCGAGTTTAAGGGGTATATTGAGTTGAAAAAAGAACAAAAACTAAACTATTGATTACTGGTCAATCGTTCTCATCGTAAAAACTCTATGGATATATAAAACTAATAAAAACTGATAAGTTTTCTTATGAACTTTAAGTAACTACAAAGATTTCAACAACCTCGTTTAAAGTCAGCATTTCGTAAATTCTATGGTCGTAATAATGACCTTGTAAGCAAATATAATCTTTCATTGAGTCGTATTTTGGCTGACTTGTTTCATACCAATCGTTAGCCTTTTTTTTATTACTGATTTTGACTACGGAATATCTCATTTACCTGATCAATACATAGGGCTCACGGCGAGGGTAACCGGTCAACAGGGGATGCTTACTCCTTCAAGGCATCTGATCCAACCTCTGGAATTTCCAGGGGTCAGTATTTATGCCTTCTTCAAAGATTAATATACTTGATTTTTTTTTTTTTGATCGATCACTGTCACATATTGATATTAAAATTAATATATGAAAATAATTTAAATCCTACAAAGAGTGAATTCTAGTGAGAGTTTTGGGAATAAGATAATTTTTAGAATGAATGAATATTAAGATAATCAATAGTAATCAACCTTAAATGTCTATTAGAACTATAGAAATTAGGGACAGATGAAACACAGACCTCTATAAACATCAGAAATGGAATCAGATGCCACGGAGGAGTAAGCTTCCACTGTCAATCGGTCACATCCGCCACGTTCCCTTTGTGATGATCAGGTAAACAGAAAAATCCGTAGACAATTCGGTGTGAAAATAATGGCTTGACAATTTTTAATAAAGAAACATCCTTCAACATTAGACCTAACGACAGCCTTTTTTTCTAACATGGTCATAGTATCAATCATAGAACAAAATGTTTAATCGTTGATATCCCTGTATCATCAACTTGTTTGTCAGTAGCCTGTGGTGTTTCAAAAAATATTTGTACGCATAAGACGTTATTTAGCATTAATTAAACTGTTAGACATGAACCCTATATGCAAGTAAAATGGTATGTTGCTGTACAAATAAAGGAAACTGATGACGTTAAAGCTGAAGTTATCACGTTAATTATATCCTTTTTTAGTTTGGCTTTTTTTCTAGTAAAATATCCGAATATGCAGCAGTTGTGCCAAACTTTGTGGTGTCCTTCATGCCGAGTTCAATGCTATACATCGAAACAACGTATACATGAAAATCATTCGTTAATTGATAAAACGTTATTAAACGCAATGACAAGAGAGTTTCATGTGGAGGTTATTCAATAAATTCTGGTTCGTTAGAATACAGCAAAGGTCTACTTATGAGGGGACACAATCAGTTTCGATGGGAATTCCTGTGAAATCCTACAAGAAAAACATATATGGTCAATGAGAAACTCAAGCATTTTGATAACAACTTTAGGGTACTAATGTAGATTCAGAATGGTTGATGACCAATGACTAGGTAAGAAAACTTGCGAGTTCCATTCTTATTCACAAAAGGAGTTGTCTATAAAGTGTTTAAAAGTCACAAGTTTTAACACTATTGATTCCGGTAATATTTTTTTTTATTTCAAATTTTCTTATTTTTTTAAATTGCTTTTATTTTTAAGCATCCAAAATTGATTTAAACCACTTCCTGGATATGTTGTTTCATCAAAAGCACTGTTGGGGTTTCTCCTTCATTGTTCATTGTTGTTCATATTTTCGTGAGGAGTTAAAGGTCTGGTTGGGCAGAACATTTGTTTGATCCCGATATGTATCTCTGTAATATTTTTTTGGAATATGAAGACAACGAATAGTAATCATGCTCATATGTCAATTTAAATAATGCAATTCAGGAGCAGAGCAAATTAAAAACATCAGAGGTGGGATCAGGTGCCATGGAGGTGTACGCATCCCCTGTCGATCGTATACACTCCTTGTCGTGATCGGAAAAATGGAAAAATCCGTAGACAATTCAGTGTGTAAATAATTGCCTAAAAATCTGTAAGAAAAGCATCAATCAGCATTCGACTTAAGATCAGACGATACGTTCCTCAAATATCTGTTTTGTATACCTTCGAATTACCTGGTATGTGGAAAATTTTCAAAATTTTAATTACCTTCTGATTTCTAAACTGGTTTCTTATTGTCTTTAAAAAAATGAAACACCAAAAAATGTTTTATTGGCTAATTAAGTTTTTTCCAAAAAGATTTTATAGGAAAAGCATCCTCTTGTATCTTGCACAAATGCCTGGTAAGGTACCTCAATTTTTTGCGAGTAAACATGTTGAAGTAGCAATACTTCAACGACAAAATCTTAGAAAAAATTATACATTATTGAGGAACGTATCGTCTGTCCTTAATGACAGATTGTATTTGCCGATAAGATCATGATATTGATATAGGACTTGCGAAAGGATTACTTTAAACGATACTTTGTATCATCAATAGTGAAGAGTAAAGAAAGGGGCTAGGTAGAACATTCACTGGAACGCACAATGTATCTTTGTTTTTAGGGATTTTTATGAAGTTTCGGAATCCAATATAGATATGGTAATTCAAATCCATTTTGGTTGTTGGGAATATTAAGAATGTTCTCTCTCTATTTCTCTAGAAATTTGAATATGTGTTTGATATCAGTGTACAATAATTACAGCGATGTCAGTATGCAATTAAATAGATTTCTCGGTAAATATTGTGAGGGCCCCAACAAATTATAACAGATTTAATTTGTTCATTTCAGCAAATAGAAGACGAACGAAATATGCTTTGAGACCTAAATAAGAGACTACCTTTTAACTTAAAGTTTTTTTTTAATAATTGTATTCACAAGTACACTTGCAGCTGGTAAATTGTAATATATTCAACTGGTCAATCGAGGTCAAATCAAGATAAAAACATAACCATCAAAATGGAAGCAACAAGATTGTTTTGAGTACTGTATAGGGGATTAATTTCACGGGTTGTAATTTTCATGTTTTTCTCTCCTCTGACATGATCGCGGTTTGATGAATTCGCGGAATTGGTATAAATTTAAAGTTACTTCCCTTGTCTGTATCCAGTTTAGCAAGAATGACATTCGCTATCGTCATGTATTAACTTCATAAACAATACACGGGGATGTTTAAATAAAGTGATTAGATTTGGTAATCAATTTATAATTGATCAAAACAATTGCCGTTTAACGTCTTTGACTATAAACATTTATAACTATATATATAATTATTATATTTACTATATTAAAGTTTATTGAAAAATTATTCACTGTTTCTTGAATTCACCGATTTATTAACACCGTGAATATAGCGAATATTTACACCGCGAGTTATTTTCCCCCTATACAGTATCTATATCTCTTTTAAACGATATCATTCAGGCAACTAAATTAAAATTCTTTACGGGCTGCTAGCTTAAAATGACGTCGTCAAAGGCAATCGCGCGCGGTTCCAGAAGATGTAATATGGTTTTGAATATGATGTGTCCCCAACAGAGATGAAAAAAATATAGAAGTGACACCATACACTAGAACGGTAGTAGTGAAGTTGTTTATAAATGACATAAGGGAGTCGAGAGCAGATTCACATTTGCATCGAATATAGTTAAGTGGAAAACTATTTATAAAATTCAGACTGTGAGGAAAGTTCTGGGTACGATCAAAGTCAAAACTACATTCTCTGCTTCTTACAATGAAATACGACCAACTTGGATCTGATGAAGAAATGAAGACACTGCTTAATTTAACTGGTCCCTGGGCCAAGAGGGGTTTGCCATTTGAAAATCTATGAGATGCCTAAGAGATATTGTGGAATCATTAGATTTCGTTGTGGCACAATATTCGTGGAATTCGTGGGTACCCTTCATCCACTAATTTTCATCCTCGACGAAGTAATGTACAAGGGGTTCAAAGTCATATTTTCCTTTTGTAGATATGATTAAATAAACGAAATTACGTCCCCACGAACCGATAAAATTCAAGCAATCCACAAAAATTGGTCACCACGAATTTTTATGATTCCACAGTACATGTTGAGCAAAAGAAATCATTACGTTATAAGATACGTGCAATACGCTTGCTTACGTGAGTTGACTTACACTTGCGTGAATTCTTCAATTTTACTTTATTTTTTTATTACATGTTTTATCATGAAAAATGATATTCATGATCATTGGCTATAGATTTTTAATATAAGATGACAAGAAAAGAACGTTAAATTAGCAAAGAGAAATTATATTGTTAACCCTATCTACAACATTTTAGAACAACCCTCGTACACTTACATTTATAGCAAAATAGAAGCCTTTCTAAGGAGGAAATTCTTCAAAATCATAGGTCAGTTTTAAATATTTTTTTAATATTCCCAACAATCTAAATGAATTTGAATTACCATACCTATACTGGATTCCAAACATCCACAAAATTAATACTTACAGATAAAGATACATAGCGGGTTCCAGTAAATGTTCTACCAATCCTCTTTCTTTAGTCCTCACTAAAATATTTACTGTAATGAAGGGGAAAATTCAGGAGTACTGTAACAACAATATATTATATAAGTGGTGTAAATCAGATGTGGATATTTAAAATCTCCAAGAAGCTTTTAGAAAATTTGAAATCGCAAATTTTTACCAAATTAATAACATCAAAACGTACGACTTTTCAACACTTTATACAACCATTCCATACGATAAATTGAAGTCCAGGCTTTTTGACATCATATACAGCTGCTTTTTTGATAAAAATAAAACTCGTACAAATACTTACATGTACCTTGTCATTGGTCATTTGCAAAATTATTTTGTTAAAACATTCTGATTGTACACACAAGTACTCTGAAGTTGATATTAAAAAGTTGCTTGAGTTTCTGATTGACAATATCTATGTAGTTTTTGAATATTAAGTCTTTCAACAATCTGGTGGATTTCGATCCCATGGGTAAAAAATGCGCCCTGATTTTAGCAGACCTATTTTTATATTAATATGAAACAGGATTTATTCGAAATCTTATACATGAGAAGAAAAAAATACTTGCTGTGGCCTTCAACTCGACATTTCGATATACCGACGACATATTATCTATTAACAATGGTTACTTCAATTCATATGTCTATCCGATGTATCCCAGTGAGCTTGGAATAAAAGATACCACAGAGTCTGACACAACAGTTTCATATATGGATATTTTACTAGAAAAAGACGTTAATGGAAACCTAACAACAAAGCTTTATGATAAACGTGACGACTTCAACTTTTCAATCGTCAACTTCCCTTACTTACGTAGCAATATACCCTTGTCACCTGCAAGTGGGGTTTATGTCTCTCAGTTCTCGTACTAAAAAAATTCTAAAATGAGGCAAGCTATTGATAAACAAGTTGATGAATCAATGATATCAACAGTCTCGTTCGAAGTAATTATTTTGCAAGTTCTATTGTCGATACAATGCCCTTTTTGCAAATACAATCAATCATGAAGTCAAATGCTGAGTGACAATTTTCATACTAATTGTTAATTAAGCCATTACATACACTTTGAATTATCTACGGACCTTTCCGTTTTTCCCGATCATGTAAAGGAACACACCCTTTACAGTTATAGACGTTTCTATATCTTCCACCTATTTCGTAGTGATACTTAATAATTTATAACATATACATATTTTGAATTATGTTTATAATTAAGAGTGAAGTAATTACATTGTAATATTAATATTTGTAAATGTTTAATAATTATATATATTATATATATCAAATATATGTATGCATGTGTATATGTATTTTTTTTAGCTTTATATAATCAATATACCGATCAAATAGTCTTGTTTGAGTGCATGTATCTAATCAACTATTTACAATTACCTAACAAATTGTCTTTCCTTATAATGTATTTATATAAACAAAATCTGTTTTCATAATAGGATCCAACCAAGAGAAGATGGGTTTTGTCATCATAACACAGGCCGCATGGTACGTCGATACCTTGTTGTCGAGTCAATATTGTTTTCAAAAAGTTACCATATTTGTCAATCATCTGTACTGTTTTGGTGTTATGATCACATACCATAATGTTTAAAAGCACGTCTGTACAGATTCCATGTGGTCGTAGTCCTGATCCTGTTGGGGGTCCTGTGTAGGAGAAAAGATATTTTCCTCCACGCCCTGTCACTACTACAGCACCTTGATGATAATCGATAAAGTCAGACACAATAACATCTCCATTGCGGTTCTCTGTGATGTAGATAGGACAACTATACAATTTCTGACCCGATTTTTTGTGTCCTATTGTCTGTATGGGTTGTCCTTTGTAATTATAACGTGTTAGCATGCCTTTACCTTTACTTTTATCAGTATTCCACATCATGACCAATATGTCTCCATTGGACTGGGAGCAGTAGACACACTGCGGTTGCCATGAATTTGTTTTCTCTATCAGTGTTTTACTTGTACTGCTATCTTTAGATAGTCTTTTAATGTTACCGCCCCTATCTATATAAATAAGATCACCAGCTATGTTCACGGAGTGTGCTCCGTTACTCCATGTATAACTCCATATATCTGCCATATAATGTAATGTGTCACCTGCTGTGTTTGTTAAGATGAGTTTATGATAATCATTGATCCAGACTAAGTTTGGGGTCACACAGGAAATGTGTGTTACCCCATTAACACCGGGCACTGTGACAGATCTGTGTAATACAGAAGCTGACGTCAGATTCAGCAGATCTTCATTTCTTACTTGTCTTCTTCCTCTCTCTAGGATTTTGATTTCACTTATCAATTTTATCATATCCTCCGTGTTGCTTTTCTCAGTCGAGAAGGATAGGTTGTGTTGTGCACGACTAGAGATGCCCTCGATCTTAGAGAAAAGGGCTTTCTTTTGGTATAAGAGGAATTTTACCGCTCTGTTTGCTGACTGTTCAGATATGTGTACATAGTTCTCTATGCTGGCAAGGTATCTGCTGATTTTTCTATTTTGTTCTGGTAATTTATTCATGCTATATCTTGTACATCTGATTTTTACATCACAAACCACAGTGTCAATGACGTCCTTAAGTCTTTGGGCTTTTCTTAACACCTTTGATTTAAGGCTGGAGATTTGTGTGTAACATGTTTTTATATCAGCTTTTATTCCTGTCATGAGAAAAAGATTGTTATAGAGAATCTCACTTCTGATGTTGTGAATGATTCCTCTGTGTTGTTGACGTTTTAATTTATAGGCTATTCTTATGTCCATAAGTTCATGTATGCGTTCTATACAACGGAAACATAGTGGTTCTTCACAAGATGTACAGAAAATTTCATAAATTTTTTCTGAATGTTTCACACAGTTCTCTTGTATTGGGATGTATTCGAATTTCTCACGGTAAATCACAACGTCATGGCATTTGGTGTGTAGATCAAAAACATGTCTTTCCTTACACTGTAGACACAGGTCATAATTACACGTGTTACAGTAAAATTCTGTGTTCCCATTGCATTGAAAACACCGTCGTATTTTTAACTGTTTGCTGAATTTTTCCATGGCGTGTAGAATGAAAGCTGTTAGCCTAAAATGATGAAACAAGATATTAAGCACACAGTGCATGATGCACATGGATGTGGAGGGTGAATGATCTTTACGTACAAAATCTGCTTACGGGGGGCGACTAGGGTTTCCATTGCGCAATACTTCACGCATCATAGTAAAATGAAGCGTATTTACTCTTTTAAAGCAACTATTTTCACATAATTAATAAAATTTAACAAAATTAAGATATTCAAGGTTAAAAAAATCTAATAATAGTTTTATATAACTGATTTTTAAAAAGATTTTTCATCCGATCAGTAGATTGACGTCGTAATAGTGTGTTTATGACGTTATGATAAACAGAAGTTCGTTAAGAGGGGGTCATAAAAATGTTATAAAAGAAAAAGTACAAGATATAAGCTCTTGAAATTTAAGAGTTGAGATTCTCACAATCATTTTTGTTATTTTTGTATAAATCCTTTTTTATCTTTCATATTTTGTACTACTCCATAGAAACAGGAAAATTGCAAATTGTTCAGGACTTATTATGTGAAAAAAATTTAAATGGGCAAAGAAAATATGAAATAGTTAAATTTGTTTCTGTTCATACACCAATATCTCTATTCAAAACATTTTACTATACGAAGATTGCGTTTCAATGTTTATGTAAAAAAAAGCCGAGGTCATTGATGAAAGTAAGTTGTTTGCACACATGCTAAAGGTCACAGCAGAAATAAGAATGGGAAAAAACCCAACCCATTTAGGCTTTATCAGTAGGAGGTAGCGAATCTCTCTCTCTTTCTCTCAGTTCTCTTACGATTTGTTTATATACTGAAACGCAACAAAAAAAACCCATCTTATTTTCACACAAATGCACTTAAACATACATTTTCTATCAAAGCTCACTTTGATCTAAATAATAAGCAAAAATGTTGAGACTTACCTGTAAACTTAATCTAATCCAAATATCGGAATAACACTTTAAACTTGTGGAATTTTACAATGCTATATGCATCTGTATTATAGAACACGATTCAAAACGATCTTTGTATTCAAAATAGCTTTTTTTAAAGGATAGTTACGAAAGTACCCTGAGAATTACAAAACTTATACATTAAGCAGAGTAAAGACCGCGATATCTTGGTATTGGATAGTTTACTGCTAATATTCACACTGACAAGAATTCTTACTGATAATAAACAAAAGAATACATAGACATAACGGCATTGACATAGCCACAAGTGTAATAGAGCGTTAAATTTAAAAATATATACTGAGATCAATAACTATTCTTTCTCTTTATCTATTAAATCTTTTCTATTGAAATATACAAATACATTTAAATGGTGACCTTGATACTTTGTCAGAATGAATAAAAATTATATGATGGATTTCGAAATCTCTGTTTAAATGTAGATCAGTAAAATGAACTCTATCCCTATGTCTTCGGTTATTCAGAGGGCATAGGGGATTATTGAGAATTAAATAGATTATATCGTAACTTTGTACTGGTTCAAGCTGACAAAGCATGAAACAATACAGTTTTAATGGATTTGTGAATGTTGTAAGGCTCATTATTAGGTTTTATTTTACACAGAAGAACTCTAAAATTGATATGTCATCATATGTCAGTTTTGAATATTTTTTATATTCCAAACAACCAAAATGAATTTGAATTACCATATCTATATCAGATTCCGAAGCTTCATAAAAATCCTTACAAACAAAGATACATAGCGGGTTCCAGTAAATGTTCAACCAAGGTTTTTTCTTTACTCCTCACTAAGATATTAACAGACGTGAAGGAGAAACTTCAAGAGTACTGTGCAACAATATATTCGAGAAGTGGTGTAAATCAGATGTGGATACTTAAAAATTCCAAGGAACTTTTGGAAAATTTGAAATCACAAGAATTTACCAAAATCAACAGCTTAAAAACTTACGACTTTTCAACTTTATACACAACCAATCCCCACGATAAATTAAAGTCCAGGATTTTTGATATCATCGACAGCTGTTTTCTTTTTCTTTTTTTCAATAAAAATGGAACTCGTAAATATACTTACCTTGTCACTGGTCATTCGCAAAATTATTTTGTTAAAAACATTCTGATTGTACACACAAATACTCTGAAGTTGACATTAAAAATATGCTTGAGTTTCTGATTGACAATATCTATGTGGTTTTTGGAGACCAGGTCTTCCAACAATCTATTGGAATTTCCATGGGTACCAATTGCGCCCCGTTATTAGCAGACCTTTTTTGTATTCATATGAAGCAGAATTTGTCCAAAATTTTGTACGTGAAAAGAAGAAAACACTTGCTGTGGCCTTCAACTCGACATTTAGGTATATCGACGACGTATTGTCTGTTAACAATGGTTATTTCAATTCTTATGTCGATACGATATATCCCGGTGAGCTTAAGATAAAAGATACTACAGAGTCTGACACATCTGTTTCATATTTGGATATTTTACTTGAAAAAAGACGTTAATGGTAATCTAACAACCAAGCTTTATGATAAACGTGATGACTTTAACTTTTCAATCGTCATTTTCCCTTACTTATGCAGCAATATACCTTCATCACCTGCATACGGGGTTTATATCTCTCAGTTGATTCGATACACAAAAGCATGCTCTACGTATGTGCAATTTCTAAAACGAGGTAAATTATTGACAAACAAGTTGATGAAACAAGAACATAGCAGTCTCGTTTAAAGTCATCATTTCGTAAGTTCTATGGTCGATACAATGACCTTGTCAGCAAATACAATATATCATTGAGTCAAATGCTGACTGACGTTTTTCATACTAATTGTAAGGCCATTATTTACACACTGAATTGTCGACGGATTTTCCGTTATTTCCCGATCACGACAAGGAGCACACGGCGGTTGTGACCGGTTGGCAGGGGATACTCACTCCTCCATGGCACCTGATCCCACCTCTGATGTTTTGGAGGTCCGTGTTTGCTCTGCTCCTATTTTGTATTGTTTTATGGACTTTTGAGCTTGAATACTGTTCGTTATCTCCATATATTTCATGAACAGATTCCTGAGTTTTTCGTTGGCAATACCCATGTATATAGTAAATATGGATTTTATAAAAAGATAAATAGAACATATTTTAAAGTAAATAGACGAGCAATTTCGCTCAATCAATTAAAAAAAAACCCATAAAACAGTTAATATGGCTTACTTAGTTTTCCTTTAAATTCTGATGATGTCTCGTATTCTGTAATAAAGAAAAAAAATAACTGAATTAATATTCTTATGTAACTGCTACACCTGTATAGCAGATCCTTCTTATTCTATAAATATTGTCTGTAAATCTGGAGAAGTACTATTTTCTATATTCTGTACAGCCAGTAACGGAACACTTCTTTATAAATGGAGATCTGACATATAGGGCCGGGATTGGTTTTAGTCTTTACAAAATGATTGTCGATTTCCGTTACGGACAATGACTTTAGGGTACATACATGTACAAGTACAAAATTCTTTTTTTCATAAATCATTTCATTCAGTATGTAGAGATTGGAGGAACCTTTTCATAGACATTAATTATGAAGCATGATATTGCCAATGCATTTTGAGTATAATAACTCAAAAAAATAAATATTTTTCTTTACTTTTCATTCTTCATAATGGTAATGTCTATAATCTGAACTCTTTTCTTGATGTGTATTTATTTAACAACACATTTTTATGAATAAATTATATACTGTTAAAAAAGAGACGAATAATAGGAAGAATACCCTGAAAAATAAAAATAGTTTTGTCATACATGCTTTTAAGATGGATATGATTTGTTTGAGTAAAATGCATTAATTTTTTAATGCTATTGTTAACTTGAGAACCATTCTACAAAACTCACAGAAAAAAAGACGTAATTTAGCAAAATTTAAAATCTGGTCTTTTAACACGTGCATTTTCTTCCGTTAGTTTGTAATCCACATCCGTCATACATTACTAAAGGTCAAACAAAAGCCGGGGTTCTCGGTTTTTTTAATCTGGTTTTCTAAAAATGGACGCTATTTAAAAATGTTGCATCTGAATGATGCATATTGCAAAAGGGAACTGGGTGACTGGAAGTCAGTTTGCCAGGCTACAATTGCAAGAGGTTTTGATATTGCACAAAGCACCATATCTAACCTATAAAACAGACACCAGCAGCATGGTATAAGAAATGATCGCGAGAAATATAGCAGACCATGCATGACATCAGCAACACGGGATCCCTTCAGTGGTTTGCAGAATTTTCATCAACATTCCACAATGATGTCGTCTACACTATTAGCTATCCCTGAACTACACAGAATATCAAACAACACTGTTTGCAATTGAATACGGTACACTGGAATTAAAGCCATATGACTTATTCATGCCAATGTTCTGACCCCACAACACCGCAAATATCGACTTCAAAGGTCTCAGACTAATAGAATATGGTCACAACACCGCTGAACAGTTTGGTTTAGCTACTAGTCCAAAATATTTATTGCAAAGCCTGAAGTAAGAGACCGAGTGCATAAGCTACGTAATGCACGTTTTAAAGAAAACTGCCTTCTAATTCGGTTTTTTAAAGATATGGTGAACTTGTTCACATTAAAATGCGTGACATTAAGTTTCACCATTCAGGTTCGCATGTTTAAATAAGAGTTGAAAAATGCAAAATCGATATTCTCACACAAGGTAATATTGTTGTTATATCGTGAACAAGTAATAAACCCTGTCCAGTTTCTTATCTGAAAAATATGTATATCAACTGCTGGTCTTGCTTTTCAGTTTAATGAGTTTATTTTTACAGCGATAACCTTTTTTAAAAAGGACAATGTTTACAAGTTATGTAAATCAAGTAAACCTTTGACCTAAACTTCTTTCAGACGCTCTTAAAAGTGTTAAAGAGTACGGTTTACCTAGTTTGATAAGTGTGTGTATGTGTGTGTGTGTGGGGGGGGGGGGGGGGGGCAACTGCAGCAGTTAACAACAATATTCCATATAAACTTTTTAAGGCTCATGGCAGGTGGCGTTCACAGAGAGTGAAAGACGGATATGTTTTAGATAGTTTAAACAATAAACTCCCTGTTACTTTGAATCTTGGATTCTGATTTCTTTAATTTCTTTTCCTGGTTAAAATATTCAAAACCTTCCTTGTTCTATATGTGTTCTGTTGTTTATTCTCCAAGATACCTTGAATAGAAATATTTTATGTTCGGATGAGTGAAAAGAAGGAGAACATAAGATCCACTTTTCTCAGTTTGGTTGACTTATTTTATTTTATTTATTTTTTTCCCTATGACCCCTGCTTTTCTAGTAAAGTGCTTTAACCACTGTGCTATCAACAGTCCATATATTCTTAATGCTACAATTTACATTTTTTTTTACAACTCTACACACACACACACACACACACACATACACACACACACACATATATATATATATATATATATATATATATATATATATATATATATATATATATATATATATATATATATATATATATTAGGGATGGCAATCGATTACAGAATTGCTAATCGGTTAACCGCAAGGCGTTCCGACCGATTAACCGGTTAATCGTATCAAAATGCACGTTTTGTTGACAATTGTTTTTCAAGTAGCTCTGTCCATATACACAAACAGACCCAAATAAGTCGATAGAAGTTAAAACAGTCGGTTAGTCTTGATTTTGGATCAGAAAAATACGGGTACATATTTTTTTATTTAAATTTCAGTAGCAAGAAAAAATTGAGAAAACCCTGAAATCTTTGCTAATTTTCCAGAGCAGATGTCACAAAAGTTCTTTCTGCATTTTCACTATGATAATCAAAACGACATGTGAACTCTAAAGCCCTTAATTTACAATGTTCGTTTAATAATTAAATTGGATTGAAAACTGAAAACGACAAACACACCAATTCACAGTGCTCAATGATTCAATTATTATCATTAAAGAATTACAGGACAGTCGGGGGTAACGACATGGTGTTTTCACGGTAATTAACACTACATAAACTGACCAATTACGCTACGGTCTCCATCTGGAGATTCATAATTACATGTACGTCCAAATTAGATCTGTTAAATCCCAAATGATCATCCTTTGTGCAGAGATTTCTTTTTTTTAAATAATTTTTTTTTAAAAATGTGTTCAATTCAACAAATATTTTATTTTTTCCGATTAACCGGTTACAGATTTTCTAATCGATTGCCATCGTTCCGACCGAGTAATCGGTTAACCGGTTACAAATTGCCATCCCTAATATATATATATATATATATATATATATATATATATATATATATATATATATATATATATATATATATAAAACAACAGCAAAAAGGTGGAAATGCATTTAATGGTGTTTTCTGACATAACGAAAATCATGACATCAGAGATACTTCGACCAGATCTAACAATACACTCACATTTACAGTTGGGGAAGGGGGGGGGGGGCAGGAAATATGAAACAGAGAAGAAATTACGATGTTAATTAATATATTAACATAAATGCTTTTTGATCGCAATCTAAACAATCTAAAATCATACATTGGAAGTATTTATATCAAACAAAATCAGGTCCTGCATTTAAATTGGTTAAATCAGTTACTGAATGTGTACATAAATTGGCGTATTAAAAATTTAGCGCAAACACCGGGTATGGAGTTGTTGGCGAAATCATGAATTAGCGCTATACATATCCGTGCCGTATATTGTATTTATGATTTCTTAGCGGATTCATGAATTAGCGCATCGTTGTCTGCGCCAAAGCCGCTAAATTATGAAGCCCGCTTTTTTAAGTACACATACCGTATTCAAATCAAAATACTTTCTGTACATGAAATGCCATTTCTTTGTTTATATTCATCAGAAGAAACACCTAAATGCAACTAATTTCCATCATATTAAAAGGAATATGTGGATATTGTTTTAGAACAAACATAATTTAAAACTCTTACATTTGTATTAAGTTAATTACAAAACATCCTTCAGAAGAAAATTACAATAAAATCTCTTAACTTGTAGATAAACAGTTACAATAATTCTCGGAAAAAAATCCTTAATCTAATGACAATACAGAAATGTATAGACTTCATTATATAATAGTCAACATAAATACTTAAATATAAATGTATATAAACTGATATTCTTATAACCTCTATCACAGACTAATTACAGTTTGTTTCTTAAGCACTTCATTTGCCTGACACACTGTGTTAAAGAAAGTCTATTTCAGTTGTTAACAAAATTAAATGTAGGCACACAAAAATGTTTATTTCATTCATCAGAAATTACAAATAAGTACATGTACATATTAAATGCTTTTTTTAACATTGGAATACTAAATAGAACCAGGGCAGCTTAGCCTATGTTTTAATTCTACATGCATATTATATAGAAAGAATAACTTGTGTAAGTGTCACATAAATGATGTATAATTTTTAATTATACAAGAAACATACTAATTATGTTAAGTGACTTTCATTCTTATACAAAAGTCTTCTAAACTAAGTAAAATTCTGTTTCTACACCTTATGTAACTGGCACTGGAAATATGCGCATGTCAACATTTATAGGATTTAAAGGAAAATTCACTGAAAGCAAACTTTTGGAGAACATAAAGGTTTTACATATGTATGTGTATGTTAACTAAATCATGCAAATATCATCGATAATTATTGATGATTAATGGCTTTAGATCCTGATCTGACCAGGCACCTATATTTCTTACATCCTATATATAGATAAATATCTGAGAGGTGATCTAAGGAATTTGCCAGGAACAAAGACTTATAAAACAATGCTGTGTGTGTTACCTCAAAGTATGATCATGGATAACATGCATGTCTACGAGCATTAGATCTGTAATGATTTTTTTAAAGCATATTAAATTAATCTATGTGTTCTATACCTTGTAATAAAAAGAATCTGTTAATGGAATGGACAAAAGGACATTTTTATGAGTTTTTTGAAATACCCAAAGTACTTTACACTATAAAATTAAAGAAAAACCCAAAATATATGCTGTGCTTTGAATTATTATTCATAAGTTGCTGGTTTTCTTAGAAAAATTACCTAGTTAGTAAATATAAAAGGCCTGCATGCTGCTGTCAAAAAGCTGCCATTTCTCTGTTTCATTGCACTACATGCATTTTTTGGCAAATTTCAATGAATGTAAGAATTCATTACTACAGTCAACATGGTCAAGTTTTCATAGTAAATATCAAAAAATATTTCATCACATGATATAATCACTTCTTCTTAATCTGAAAAAAATTAAAAACAAAGTGAAAGTCTCAGTTTGATTATAAATATAACAAATATTACCAATTTACAATTACAAAATGTTCACTGAATTCACAAATGAAATGGTTACATCTAACATGAAATGACAAGGTAAAGGGTCTATGATGGTGGTGGTATCTGAATTCAGATCTCTTGATATGCTTAAGAGTTGCTACTCAAAGCACCGATTGGCAAGTTCTATATGTTCAATGTGGCAGTTGTGAAATCAATTCAAAACCACCATGTGTCAAGTTCTACATGTTCAATGTAGCAGATGTCAAAAACTTTGTTCTTTTCTTCTGTTTAATCTGTTTTTTCATCTACAAAAATAAATAGTGTTATGATGTTTTATAAATCATGTACAAGTATGAACAGGAAGCTCTTTTTTGATCTGATCCAAAAGGCTCAAGTGAGCTTTTCTGACAGAAAATGTGTCCTCTGTGAACTTTTTCCATTTTCGACTTCTTCTCAAGAATCATTATGCCAAACTTTACAAAATCATCCTTAGGTGAAGGGGATTTAAGTTTCTTTTAATTAATTGAAGGGCCACCCTTCTTTCAAGGTGAGATAATTAAGAATTATTCTTTTAAAAATCTTCTCAATAACCAAGCTGGGCCAGAGAAGAAGAACTTATGTGAAATCTTCAGCACATAGTATAAGATTCAAGTTTGCTCAAATCATTACTCCTGGGGCTATGGAGAGGCTTAAACAGGCGAAAAGAGTTTGACATTAGAATATATAGCAAAAATCAAGAACAGCAAAGTCATGATTAGTCATATTTATGAGGAGCATCCTCAGATAGATGAAAGATGAAACTTACATGTATGTAGAATCTTTATTACATAGTGAAGATTAAAGATTGTTTCAATCATGACCCCAAGAAATAGGAAAATATAGGAAGAATCTTTAAAAATCATCTTCTCAACAACAGAAAAGACATGATTCAGAATATATTATTTAGTCATTTTATATGGAAACATCCTAAGGAAGTATAGATTCAAGTTTCTTCAAATCAAGACCCCTCGTTGTAGAGTTGGGCCACAATAGGTGATCAAAGTCACCTGTTTAGATAGGTTCTTGACCCAGTCGATGTGTATCATTTTGACCACTTACCTGTTTCTTTAAGTCGGTTAGTTGTTTAGATAGAATTTTTGACCAGTCTGTAACATTGACCACTAACCTGTTCCTTTAAGTCGGTCAGCTGTTTAGACAGATTCTTGACCAGTCGGTTTGTAGCATCCAGCTGGGCCTGTAGATTTCGGTAATCACTCTGTTCCCCCTCGCTGTCTTCAGCCGTCAGAGACATCGCTCGCATTCTGGGGAACCAGTCCAAATTTTTCTCCTACAGGCAAATCAAAAACACTAATGCATTATGTCCTCTCAATGAAAATTATTAGGAACAGATGATCCAGTAAATCTATTATATATATAAATATAATATATTACATTTATTACTATAAATGACGGAAATGTATTTTTGAACATTACTGTATATAATTTTATGCATTTCTTAGCCTTCTCATTTTTGTGTGTGTATATTTGCAAGACATTAGGCTTTATATTTGAATTTGTCTTATTGACAAAGGTGCTAAAAAGAATACACAGCCAAATATAGTATGTTTACATTATATCCAAGACAAGGACAAGATATTTAAGTTAAATTGAAATCAAGTTTTCCTAAATTCAATTAGTTTCTAGAGAAATTCAGTTGTAAACTTAAGAGATCCTTGGACAATTTGCTTAGACCATCTGATACGTAATGAGTGATTACCTTGACCATCTGGTACACGTAGCTCTCTGGTCCAGTAAATTCTGTATGATCCTTGACCTTGTCAAGGACAATGAAGTTTAGGTAATGCCACATATTGTGTTCCTTTGATTTGTGTTCATCAAAAGAAACCGATTTGTTGTCAAAATTGCTTCGATTTAGTCCTGAAAAAAAAATACCAGTAGAACTTACTTTTTGTATCCATGTTTGGAATATTAAATAAATATACTAGTAAATGGTTTATTAAAGACTTTTATCATCAATTGCAAAAGTCAAGACTTGAAAACTTCCAGTATATTTGAAATGAAATTACAATATACATATATATATGCATAAGAACTAAAATTAAACTGAAAACTTACCACAAATGAAACAAGTATTTTTGAGAATTTCATCTTTTTGCTGCTTTTCACTCCTGAGATCAGCAAACGTGTCGATGATGACACCAAAAATGAGGTTAAGGACGATAATGATGACGATGAAGAAGAAGAGAAGATCATAGACATCTCGGGCCACAAACAGGTTCTCCTACAATATAGTCAGAAGTTATTTAATTTTTACTTTTCAGTACATTTTAATGATATTAGCAGTACTTAACATTATTTGAGGATAGGATTTCTATGTGTATAAATACCCTGATGTCAGGTTTTCTGAGCAGGTCACCGATCCCCCCGCCGTTCCTGAGGCCATGGTTCAGGGAGGTCAGGATACACATAATCAGGGAATCACACACTCTCTGTTTACCATCTTCTGTTGTGTCAGCTGCCAAAAAAATTAGGAATGATGATAATTTTTTTCTTCTACATGCTATAATGGTGACAATTTTCAATGGGTGTCTTGTCAATCTACGGGAAGGGTATAATTATTTTTTGGCAAAAATTTTTTTTTGAATATTTCTGTGACATACTGACACCCACCTGACACATCCTGAGATGATCTGACACCCCCTGTTACAGCACTACAGTTCTGACTGTCACATGTACCATTATCTGTATCATTCACTGCTAAAAACAACAAAACATAAAGAGGTGATAGAGATAAACATGGGTGCTATTGTTCATTCATTACAGGAAAATTACTCGCTAAAAATTCCATTTACCGGTAATAAGAATTCAAAATGTAAGACACTATTCCTAGACTTTATAAATGTAAATGTATGCCTTAATTGTGACTGTAAAACCCATGTTGGATATAGAGAAAACAGACATGAATTTTACAAATTTTGAAACTTTTGATACCTTCCCCTATGAGTTGTGGTATGGGGTCAACCTCCAACAGGAAGTCATCCTGGAAACAGATGTAGCCAATGATGGAGAATAGATAGATAATGATGACTGCCAGAACTGATGTCAGGATGATTGAGCGGCCATTCTTAGTCACCGATTTAATCACATTCCATAACGTCTCCTCTCTGTTGATCACATCCAGTAACTATAACAGTAAACAAATACAAACTGTAACTATACAATACAGACTTCAAAAAAAAATTCTGAGCCACAAGTCAGTAGGGCATTACGCTGCAAACTGTACATAAGAGAAAATCACCTTATTTAATGTTGCATGTTTCATATATTTACAAAAGAGTAAAAAATTCAAATTCTTCTAATACTACTACAGAAATACAGTGTATTTTGATTTTCTGATATATATTACTCTTTTCTAAATTAACTATATATTTGTTATGATAAATTTCAATGACTTTATTGTATTTTATATATATATATATATATATATATATATATATATATATATATATATATATATATATATATATATATATATATATATATATATATATATATATATATATATATATATATATATATATATTATATATATATATATATATCAGTTTCCTTGTGATATTTAAGCCTTACCAATATACTATAGAAGAATTCGTGAACACACAGTCCTAAGATACAAAACACTAAATAGATGATGTGGTACATGAATCTGAAGTCTGTTAGCACCTGTCGGGGGAGCTTAGTGAACGTCCCTTGATTTCCCATCATACTTATCAAAAATATACCTTTGTTTATCAACTGTTAAAAAAAATTCACATACCTTTATTAACTATCAAAAATAATGGTGGTGATTTATTTACACAAGAAATTATCCTAAGATGCATAAATTTATGTCTCAATGTCTGGAATGCTTAAATCATGAAAAATTTAAGAAAATATCTATTTTAAACCTTTTCCTCACTCTCATCCAATATTTCAAAAATTTAGGTTAACATCTGCCATTTGAAACACAGAAGGTTATATTACAAATTATAAACTTTAAGATGACTTCAAGTCAGACATCATCAGATAAATACTTACATTAATAGCGCCTAATAACCACAGTGTAGTGTCAAGTCCCACAGAGAAAATAAACCGGAAAATCGTGGAAATAAAAATCGTCCTAATGGCTGCTGGATTAACGCCCACCATGGTCACCAGAGCCAGGGAACCAAACATGGCAGTCCAGATCAAACCAGAAAGCTTAGGGTCCAGTTCTGCAGAATTAAGTGAAAGAAAATTGTTAAGACTTCAACACATATAATTCTTTATACTTCCATGAACTTTTTTTAATTTATGGAAAATGAATTAATCATTTCTCTTAGGGAAAAATAATTGTAGACTTAATTTCTTAGAAATTCCTGTTTTGGTATAAATGACAATCATTGCAAATTTTCATCTGTTACTGTCAGTAATTTAAAATAAATAAAATTTTCTGTTCTAATTCTGCAGCTGAATTATTGAGACCTTTCTAGTACCCACCTTTCTTGACCTCTGTAAATGGGTAGAAGAACGCCACTAAGAAGTTGAGGAGCACAGCAAACTGGAAGGTGATGCTGCTCCATAAAGACATGTGACTACTGAACCACGACAGGTAGGGGTTAGCTAAATATAGAAAAGACGTGCTAAATTAGGACTGTTAAGGGTAAGCTATACAAAAATTAACAGTACAGTACGACAAAATTTGTATAGATAAGGGTTTGATAAATTATACATTTGACCTCTGAATTAAGACAGGTAAGGGCCATGAAAACAAAAGTTGTACGCTGACTGCAAACTTTAATGAATTCAAAATAACATGTACAGTCATGTGAATAACAATACAAAGAGCAGTAACTGTTCCAAATGATGTCTACATGGTACATGAAAACGCATGTAGAAGAACACTGGCTAAACTGTATGGCAGTGACTTTGACCTTAATTAACATAGAAGAGTTCATTACCTCTTACAATTCAACAATAATTACTTCGAAAATTCTCTGGTGAGCCTTGAACTTAATCATAGAAAGGTCTTTACAATTCAATAATAATGGCTTCAAATTACAAAAATGTAGTGGAAAGAAAAAAATGGACATAAATACAATGGAAATATGATGTATTCAATAGAAGAAAATTTCATCCTTTTCACAAATCTAATGCTCATTATTTAGATAATATACTGTAAGAAATGAGATGAGTTTTTGGATTTGATGATTACATTTCCAATATAAATTACTTGACAATTATAACATAACCCACCCCTCAGTTTTTTCTGCCACCTCATCTCAGCAAACATATCCTCCACTTTCTCAAAGAAGTCAGCCACTTTACTGCCCTGCTCGTCTCGCTCGGTGGTGTAGTAAATACGAGTCTTTGTCTCCTCCGTGAGATACTCACAGATCTCGGGAATCGGAAACACGATTCTCTCCATAGATCTGTCCTGTCTCACAATCTGTTCAGATATTCAACTTTGATATATTCTCTTACCAATACATTTAAATTTCAAAATGAACATTCTTATAATTTACTTATGGTAAAGATCTAGTAACATGTGTAAATGAGTTTAGACTGTCTTTCTGAAGCTAGATCCATTATGACGTCGTAGTTGATTTAAACTTAATTTTTCCCGTACTTCATGGCTGTAATAGAATTATGTAGAAAATGAAGCATTTTCATGGAATTCAATTTGAAATCATTTCAAAAGTAACCCCGATACCTATATTCAATTAAATATCATTTTAAAGTAGAGGTCAAGAAGATACGAAAAACCGTTTTCTGAGAGCCTGTGGGCAATATTGATACATTTCCTTTTTCTGAGATGTAAAAAACTCTGAAATGTATACCTGACTTTCTTCATTTTTCATTGAAAATGACAGTTTAAAACGTTTTTCCGGTGAGTTTACCTAAAATTTATGTCCCGATACACCTTATTTTACTAAGCTATAAAGGACCATTAAAAGAACTCGCCCCTCAAATTTGAAAAATGTGTAGGCACCTTTCATTTACTAGATCTTGACCTTAAAACAATCATTTGTATGAAAAATTTAAGGGATGAAATTGTAGTCACTGCAGGTAACTCAATGATACTGTAGATTTGATTTGTGTACCTCTATCTGAGCTGTGTGTTTCTCATAGAACTCCAAAGCCTGGTCCCCCCATAAGTCACCACTAGGCTTCAACAGATGGGCCAACCTCTCACTGTGTAGAGACAACTACCAATAAAGAAAACATACAAATTAAACATGGTCTCTTTGATTGATGGTCATGTGAAATGTACCGTGATTTATTATATTTCAAAAATGTGTCCATTAGCCAATTATTATTTCATTATGTGTCACATCCCTCTTACCTGTGTGGCCAGGATATAGATATTGTGGCCCACATCTTTGGGCGATGCCTCTTCCTTACCTGTGTGGCCAGGATATAGATATTGTGGCCCACAACTTAGGGCGATGCCTCTTCCTTACCTGTGTGGCCAGGATATAGATATTGTAGCCCATGCCTTAAGGTGACACCCCCTTCTTACCTGTGAGGCCAGGATATAGATATTGTGACCCATGCCTCAAGATGACACCCCCATCTTACATGTGAGGCCAGGATATAGATTTTGTGGCCTATGTCTTAAGGTGACACCTCCCTCTTACCTATGAGGCCAGGATATAGATATTGTGGCCCACATCTTTGGGCGATGCCTCTTCCATATCTGTGTGGCCAGTGTCACATCAAAATCATCCTAGCATATTTTTGTTAGTTTATTTTAAATTTCATGTAAATATCCCGTGGGGAACCCCTTCGTTTTAAATGTGTTATTACTGTACATATCCTTTACTGAACCTCAATTCACTGGACCTTAAAACCCGCCAGTCCGTGCCAGTTAGTTTGGACGCGGCAGTCCAGAGAGGAGGACGCCTCTATCTCCTCTTATATCTTTGTTTTTTACATGTATGTACCCTTGTATTCATGGCAGTGCTTGCTCTGGTGTGATATTATTTTTAGCAGTGTAATGGTCCAGCTTTTCTGAGGTAAGGCTTATATTTATAATTCTATTTTAGTTATTTCCTATATATTATTCATTTGTCCTAAAACATCCAGTCACCGCATTTCTCATCATTTTTTAGCATGTTTGTTTCCTTTAATTTGATTTCTATCTATAGTAACACGTATATGAATATTTCAAAGTACGATGTACAATTTCTTTCATGATAGTTTGTCCAAGTAAAATAGCAATTGGCAATATTGCATTTGTGTAAGAGTTGTATGTATAATTTAAACAACTCATTTGTGTAATTGAGTCTTATCCAAGACGTGTCCATTATCTATAAATCTGATAATGAGTGTAATGTGTATCTGTGTAAAGCCACTAGAGCTCGTAAGTAAAACTTGTATGTATATGTTAGAGCAGGTTCCATCCATATGTCAGAGTTTTTGTACAACAGTGAGGCCACCCAGTGCCTAAAGTCCGCCCATGGTGTGTAGTAGATAGGCCAGCCAGCCTTGGAACCTAGAGTCCATCCTCCAGCCTGTGAGGTGGAAAAGCCAGCGGCGAGACAGGAAATCACGACAAACAACAACAATGACATTTGTATATAGTATCATCAACGGCATATTCACCATGCGTTCACCATTCGCTCTCCGTTCACCGTGCGCTCGCGTTCACCGTTCACTCTCCATTCACTTTGCGTTCACCTTGGTTCAGCGTTCACTTATCGTTCAGTCGTTACTGTCATTGGAACTCCAAAGTGAAAGGACTTACCTTTTTTGTAAGTAAGAATTTACAGGATTTGAAATTAAATAATAAACATATCGTGTTTAAAGGATTATTATTTCATGGGAACAAATTATCTACAGTATGTTTTATTATTATTCTAACTTAGCTGTTAGGTTATTTATTAAATTACTCTGGAAAATTAATGTTGTTATAAGTATGTACGTATGTAGAATATGCTGAAAAATTGAATTTAAATACAGGCAATATACTGGTACTTCAAGCACTGCAACATTTTGTTGTTATGTTAAAGACGACAAATCGTTAATGGAGAGATAATAATCCATGCCAATTAATTTACCAAGTGAAGCAAAATTACGAAAGTATTTATTTATTTACTAACACTTTTTTTTTCAATTACTATAGATATACATTATTAGAAATAGTTCTGAGAATTATAAATAGTACTGAAGATATCCAGTTAATTAAAAATCTTTGGAGCTAATTAAATTGATAGTGGGGTTAAAAAATATTTATTTAAATGTAATACATTACAATTCATATATAAAATCTATTGTTAGAGAGAAAAAAATCCTTTCTTTACAATAACTTAATATGTTTGCCATTCGATATGATTAAGACCCCCCCCCCCCCCCCTCCCCGCTTTCCACCTAAATCGGTTACTTAGCATTTCCAGTACATGTATATTTTAATTAATATTTGTAAAGAAGTTAACGCGTAGCACAAAACATTTTAGTCTCAAAACAAACATGCATCTAAAAAAAGCCATTAAACAATAGTAGTTCAAAATATACACGTGTCGACGGTGGTATTTTAAATTAACCAGGGAGTATGTTTCAAATTTATGCCCTATGTATTTTATTTATTTATCTAATTTTTGGAAAAACTGGAATCAAATCTAGAAATGATAAAAAAAATGTTAAAACTTCTTGGAAATACTAAAGTGTAGCGCTTCGCCTTTGGTGTGACGAGACTTTCACACCTGCACAGTGTCGAATGATTTTGATTGACAGGACAAACACGTGGACTTCATGTGAACTTGAAGCAGGAAAATAAAAACCGATTATGACTGTCAAACAAAATGAATTTGTTGATAAAAAAAGGTGTACTTTCATTGCCTGATATATCTAGATAAAAAATAAGAATTTCTGTCTATACAGGTACATATACATGTACATGCATTTGTGGAAAGGGGGGGGGGCTAAAACGGAATCTCTCTCTCTCTCTCTCTCTCTCTCTCTCTCTCTCTCTCTCATTTGTCAAACAATCAAAAACTATGACACGTATTACTTAAATATCAAGTTCTGAAATTTTAATCTATAACAAATAATATGAATGCTTCTTTGTATCATCTTGTCCAAGTAAAATCATGGTGAATCGTCTTCAGATACATGTAGAAGACTGCTCAATAAATCATCATAAAAATAGACATGATACATAAATATATTATTGCATTAAATTTTTAAAATACGAGTGTATACATGCAATACATCCACAGACCGTAGCAAAATATTTTTAATTTTTTTCTCATTATTTTACACGGAATTGCCTGACACGGAAATACATGTATACTGTAGATTCCTAAATATACGCGAGGAATAAATTATCGTGTAATTACGCGAGAAGCACCACTCGCAAAATAAAATTACTCGCTTTTATTTTTATGGTGCTTTAATGTATGTAAAATCTCTAGATAAACAATACAATCAGCAGCAGAGCTAACACAAACCTTTAAAAACATCAGAGGTGGGATCAGGTGCCATGGAGAAGTAAACATTCTCTGTCGACCAATAACACCCGCCGTGTGCTCCTTGTTCTGATCGGGACAAGCAAAAAAATCATTTGAAAGTAATTACATTTTACTGAATTTAAAAAGAATGGTTAAAAGTATTATATATATTCAGAAAAGAAAATAAAAAGTGGGGGTCTGTAATGTTAATTTTTAGATATTACTAAAATAGTGCTAATTTTAAGCTTAAAATAGGGATATTCTTTTCTTGATTTTCACAATATATTTGCTATATTTATCAAATATAATGATAGAATTCATGACAGTTTATTTGATATATAATTGAGGACCAGTATAAAACAGTTCACTACACAAAATAACTCTGTGTGCAGACTGCATGTAAAAATAGGAATCCAAACTTAACATACTTTTAATACTTTGAAAGAGAAAAAATGATCATTTTCTTCTAAAAAAAAACCTTCCGCCACAAAATATAGTTCCACACTTAATGCTTTTGGTATGGAATTTTAGCATGGAGTTTTAACTGAATATAGTTTAATTGGCATTACAGAATCCAAATTTATTGTAAGAATTATTATTTTATTATGAATTTTTGAAATATAGGTTAAGATATAAATCTGCTCAAAAGCTCAGGAGCGAACCTCGTTAAAGCAATAATGCATATGTATCGCACTCCAGAATTTGAAATCTCCTTGTTTTAAATAACAAATCAATATTAAAAGGAGGCTGGGCTATTGAACAGCTCTTTCTCTCTCTCTAGAAATTTGGATGTTTTTGGCATAAGTTTAATACAATTAGAGCGATGTGAGTATGTTATTAAAAGATACCCCTCTAAATATTGTGAGGCCCTGAAAATTGTTTATCTTAATTCAGGTTAAATTCAATACCTACACAAAATTAAAAGGCAGCCTTTGAAAAATGAGTGGACTCCATAAATCAGCATGGTTTTATAGGGTGCATATAGAGTGGAACCACAAAAACTCATTAAAATTTTTCATAGCAATACAACTACATGAACATGTAACACAAGTGAACTTATGATGAAAATTTATTTTAATGAAAGTTAAGCAATAAACGGTGAATGTTTGTATTTTAAAAAATAATTCACGTAAGATCACATATAACAAAGGAGAGTTCGATTCACACAACTACACACACACACGTTTTTGTTCTAAAACTTGGAATAGTCCAGAGTAGAACTTTGATTTCCTGATGACGGAATGTCAAGTACATCTAATATTCGCGTCCGGGATTGTCCACGGCGGTTCTAAAACTCGAAATAGTCCAGAGTAAAACTTTGTTTTCCTGATGACGGAATGTCCAGTACATCTAATATTCACCTCCGGGATTGTCCACGGCGGTTCTTAAACTGGCCATTTCACACAACATACGACAATCACTCAAACTTCAATTAACACATTTGAGGCAAAGGACTGACACTAATTCCTTAAATGAATATTGAGTGACGATTTCCTTTTTATTGTCTAAACATTAATTGTTATATAAATAATTATAAACATATGTGAAAAATATGGATTAAAAATAATTCTTTTTATAAAATCAAATTTTTGCTACATTATAAATTAATTTTGTAAAATTTACTATGTGACACATGTATAAAGGGGGAAACATTCAGAACAGTAGGGCCAAAATGACTCAAGTAAATGTTTTTGCCCATGGGCATCTTGTTTTGAAAAGGCCTGGATTAAAATTATTTAAGTACTGTTTTTTTCTGT